TAGACATCATTGACTAATGTTAGGGTGTCAGCCATAATCTGGGAATAATACTACTTCACTGCCCTCATCTACTTCTGATAGAGGGCTAAATCTGTTAAATCTTGTACCTAAAATAAGACTAGAATCTAATAAGACCCCCTGTGTGCATGTATGTATGTAATTTATAAAATATTCCATAGTTACATAATGTGAGGTAGTTGGGATTGCTGGTCTTATTATTTTATCATCATAACCACTATTTTACAGATTAAGATCCTTCAATTTAGAGGCTACATGTGACTGCTTTATACTTTTCTCTATTCCATGGGAGATGATATATAGGACAGTTAACAGCAACATTCCTATTTTGGGCTACCTTTTGGTGGTTTTCCCAACATGAGGTTTTGTTTTGTTGTTTGTTTTTGTGGTACTGGGCTTGAACCCAAGGCCTCACACATGCTGACCATAGCTCTACCTATAAGCTACATCCCTAGCCCAGATGAGCAGTCTTTATAAAATTCCAGTGAAAACAAATTCCACTGAATTCTCTAAAGGTAATTGTCACCTATTTACTTTTTCTAGAAGTTAATTTGTGTGCAGTGGAAGGCTAGATGGAATCATAAAATCTCAGGACTCATCAGGAATTCCCCATATTAGCCCTTTGTCTTCTACTGGACATGAGATTAAGTACAAAAGATCATGTCATATTCTTAGTCATGTACCCAGTCTATTAGCTTAAGGGGGGGGGCATCATCTTTTGAATCTAGCCTCCAAAGATAAGATAATACATTTATTTTATTCTGAAGTGGCTGTAACTATATTTCTTATTATGTCAGTGCTGATCAGTTTTTTTCTCTTTGGGAAAGAACTCTTTCATTTGTCTTTTCTCCCTTCTACAATTTCTTTTACTGTTTTTATGGAATAGCATAAACATTTCACAACCTCTTCAATTTAACTATAAATCAACTCTGGTAATCCAAGTATAAGATGAGTCAAATTCTGTTTCACCTAGAATTGCACTTGGATAATAATAAAATTGAAGTCTTGAATGTCAGGGACTCCCTTTATAGTTCTCTCTTTAGGTTTCTTGTTCTGTCCCCAGCTTTCATGGCAGACTGGTACCTCATCAGGGAATGAATGTAATCTTAACACTAAGAGAAATTGTATAAGGAGTCTCTAATCCATCCCAAAGAATGCTTCCCTTTTCTTAACACCCTATTTTCAAACACGTAGCTATTTTTTCACATTAAAAAGAAATACCTGACACTACAATTTAGAAGAGACGAGTTTATTCTAGATTACCGTGTCAGAAAGTTCAGTCCATTGTTAGCTGGCTCCAAGGCTGAAATGGCATGGCAGAAGGGCCTAGAAGGGAAAACCTGCTTAACCCATGGCAGCCAGAAAACAGAACAATAAGAAGTAGAGGAGGGGCAGGGGAGGGGGGAAGGGGAGAGGACAAGGGGAGAAGAGACAGACCCATCAAAGGCAAACCTGCAGTGACACACCTCCTCCAACCAGGCCCCAGCTCCCAACAGCATATTCAACATCATCTCATCAATGGTTGAGTCTGCTGATGAGCATACCATTCCCATGATCCAGTCACCTTTGAAAGTACCACCTCTGAACCAGTAAGACTTTTAGGGGGCTGTTTTAGATCTAAACCATCACAGATATGTAAATATATAGTACATGCTTGGTATAGAAACAAGACCAGAATAATATAATTCACCGTCTTTGTTTTGAAGCCCGTATCAATCCAGTCCCATTTAAAAAGTACCATCCATATGTTGCTATTGTGTTTGTAGGATAAAATCCTAAAATGAAATTACAGAGGATTTTTTCCTCCTCTACAAATATCATATATATGTATAAATATATGTATGTATGTATGTATGTATATACACACACATACATATACAATACACCCTTTGCTTTCTCTTCCTTCAAACAATACATTTTGGAAATATTTTAAAATCAACCCACATAGAACTGTTTCATTCTTTGTAAGGACTGTATGCTTTTCTTTATCTTTTTTATTATAGTTTATTCACTTAACATTATGGTATCAAGGAGCATCCTCCAAATGATATGTCTATCCATATTTATGGCAGAATAGTACTTCATGGTATATAAATGCTACATTTTCTTTATCCATTAATGAATATATGGGCCACTTCCAAGATTCAGCTATTATATATTGTGCTGCTAGAAACATGTGTATGCATCTATCACTGTAATACAGTGTCAAGTCTTTCGGGAAGATACCTAGAAGGGGAATTAGCTGTGCCAAATGGAATATCTATTTTTAATGTTTTGAGGAATCACCATACTGATTTCCATAGTGGTTTGCTCTTTTACATTCCCACCAGCAGTGTAGAAGGTTTGCTTTTTCCCCTCCAGCCTCTCCAGCATTAGTTATTATTTGATTTCCTGATGATAGGTATTCTTTCTGGGGTAAGACAAAATCTCAATGTCATTTTAATTTGCATTTCTCTAATGGCCAGCATGTTGAACATTTCTTCATATATATTTTGGTCAGACTGAACTTTATTGAAACACACCTTGATTGACTTAAGTTGTTTTCAGTCTTCTACTATTAGGAACAATATTGCAGTGATTATCCTTTCACATGACATTTCACAAATACAGCTGCAGGTTAACACTTGTGATAGGATAGAATGTTGATTCAAAGGTATGTGACATTTTTATTCTGATCAGTATTACAAGTTGCTTTCCCTAGAAATTGCAGCAATTTATATTCTTCATAGTTTTTGTATTCTTGATTTTTCCCTCTCACACTTTAGAACACTCCCATCAGCATTATATAAGCAAAAGACTGTTTCTCCATGACCTTTCCAACACAGCCTGTTACCAGACTTTTTGATCAAAAGCAATAGTTTTGGAGAAAAATGGATCTACATGTATTTACCTTGTAGTTGTTGTTTTACTGAATTGAGCACTTTTTCAGCCATTTGTACTTCCTTTTCTTTGAACTCTTTGTCCTTTGCTCACTTTCTGTAAGATTTAGGATTTTCTAGAAGTCTTTAAAAATTATCCCTTTGTTATGTAAGTTGTAAATATCTTTCCCAGTTTTGCATTCATGTTTGTATAAATTTTTCACATGTGAAAGTATTTTTTAAAAAAAGAAAGTATTTTTGTCATCAAATTTATCAGTCTTGTATTTTATGATTTCTAGATTTTGTGGCATTCTTAGCCCCACTTCCTCACTCCATGAGTGTCTTCTTCTAATACTGTATATGTTTTAGTTCTGTTTTTTTCACATTTAATTCTGATTTGTTGTAAAGTATGATTTAGGTCTCCAACTTCACTTTTTTCTGAGTGGCTATCCAATTGCCTGAAGATCATTTGTTGAGTAACTCATTTCTCCCCTCTTTGACTTTTCATATACTGAAATCCAAGTATAGTATCACTTAAGTTATAAAATGAGTAATAAAACCTTAAACAGGTTTACTCTAAAGTACATTTTGTTTAAATAAGATAATTTTTCAAAGATTAAAGAAATGAGAAGGAATATTTATTTTAATCCTACAGTTTTGCCCAGTAAATTTTATTTAAAATGTATATATTTGTTTGTTTGTTTGTTTGTTTTTGGTACTGGAGATCTAACTCCAGACCTTGCGCTTGTGAGGCAGGCGGTGGAACCACCGAGCTAAATCCCCGGCCCTAAAACGTATTTGGATTAGAGATTCAGCTAGAAAGGCTAGTAGAGTTGTCATTTTGTATAAATGGCTGTGCTTGTGTCAAGATGATACACTGAATAACAGGAATATGTTTTCTGCTAGCATGTATTGTAGAATATTAAAATTGAGACGTATATATGGTCAGACTAGTGAATTGTGTTTCATCTAATGAAGGATAGAATTTATATACTATTGTCAGTATAAGTGTGGAATAACCAGGGTAAGAAATGACCTCCAGTATAAAAGATTTGACTTACATATAATTTTATGAATTTATTTGGAAAATATAGCCTACTTTGAATCTTGATTTCTCCTAATAAAAATTACTTTAAATTTTGTCTTGGCTGCTAAATTTTTAAAAATCCATTCTGCTCAAAAGATTTGCATTTTGTTTGGACCAGCTTTTTTGGATTGCTGTCATATATCCTCCTTTTTTGTGCCTCCTCCCATTTTTCTTTAAAAGGAGAGCATCTGCTATGTATCATGAAGAAGCTGTGGAAGCAGTAGTGAAAGAATAGAAATAATATTTGCATGTAATTTTATAAACAAGGGTTAATCTTTATTGCATAAAGTCTAAAACATTTTTAACACTAGATTGGTAAGACACAGCCCCCCTCTTGCCCTGTTAGTTATATTATTTAAGCTAGATTTAATGTCAAAAGTATAGAAAACCATTTATTTATAAATTACTTTAACTGTTCTAAAATAGAATATAAGCATGGTTGATGACATCTTATTATTAAAGAAAATTTAAACCAAACTCAGAAACAAAATGCTTTTCTCAGTTTGTTTTACTCAGTCACAGAGAAAACATGCCCTGTAGTACTTTCTCTTTTGTGAGTTTAACTAGTTTTTCATATTTCTGTGCTCACTGTGAGGTGTTATTATAGACATAATAATTATTATACTTCTCCCTGTTTAAGACTTCTGCATGAAGATATTTGCCTGACAAGATGAACAGGGGTTGATATTTTGGTTGTTTTGGATGTACAAACACATTGGTCTTATTTTGTATCACTGACAGCCCACAGGGTTGGCTGCTATGTGCTGAACTTTCTGTTCTAGACTTTCTGCCAAGTACTTTATGCAAAACTCTGGTTTTAGTGAAACAGGTTTTATTGTTTTTAGTCAGAGTTGTATTATAAGCTGTTGTTAGCTATGTGATGCAAACAGAAGAGTTGGTGTGTATATATAGCCATGAAAACAAAACACCACAACAAGCCTGTCTCTGTTCAACTAGTTGTTTTTCCCTCCCATTCCTGTATCCTTAGTTCATGTTGTTTACTGCTGGAAGCCTGATGGTGTAATTTTCTTTTCTAGGAACTTGGAATTAGAATTCCTCGACCACTAGGACACGGACCAAGCAGATTCATCCCAGAAAAGGAGGTATGTGGTTTGTGAAAGTACATAGTGAACCGTATGCTTTTAAGGAAAAATTTTTATGACCTGTATCTTGGCATCTGAACAACTGTTGGTCAACAACATGTTTTAGGCTGAGTTGATTGCAGTTAATCATGCTTTGGCAGTGAATCTGTGGTATTAGAAAGCTGTTGTAGTCATGTTGATTTCTAGTATTTCATGACACTCTTGTAAAACACCCTTATTTAATCAAGTAAAGCCAAGACTTGTTTTTGACCAATAATATTCTACTTGCTTATATTTAGATCATGCTTAGGTATGCCTGTAAACTGTGTTACTTGGGCTTGACTATCCCCACAGGCTGGTATGAACACTAGATTGGGTCTCTGTATGTAAAACGTCTATGCTTTGTTTTTATATGGATTGTTTGCTATTAGTTAATTTTGGTTTTTCATAATTGAGTGAAAATACTTGGTGGTGTAAGGAAAGACTTTATTTTATGTTTGCAAGCACTGCAACTTTGACACTCTAAATCTGCTTCTTTGTCTGGATTCTGTCCAAGTATACAAGCAGCTGATCTAGATGGCCTTTAACATTCAATCTTTGTTGTTTATCTCCTACTGTATAATGTAACCATTTATTCTTCTGTTTTGCTACCATTTGAGTTTAAATTCATAACGTCTCTCTTAAGCCAAATTTAATCTGCTTCTAAAGGACACCATGCAGCCCATGCATATTTTCTTTAATGCCAATTTACAACTTATATAACCATGGTTTTCTTCTCATTTATACAGATTCTCCAAGTGGGGAGTGAAGACACACAGATGCATGCTTTATTTGCAGATTCTTTTGCTGCTTTGGGTCGTTTGGATAACATTACATTAGTGATGGTTTTCCACCCACAATATTTAGAAAGTTTCTTAAAAACTCAACACTATCTACTGCAGATGGATGGTCCATTACCCCTACATCATCGGCACTACATTGGAATAATGGTGTGTAGACATTAAATGAAAAAAAAAAAACCTTTTTACTTGCTTTTATTAATCTCAAGAGATACTTAATGTTTTAAAACAGGGATAAATACTTGTATTCGTCTGTGTAATAGGATACCCTATTAGGTAGTCTTTTTTTTCTTTTTTAATAAACAGACACTCTTCTCAAGTATGACAAAAAGTATACCATATTTATATACAATGCTGGCAACCATTCTTCTTTATTATACATAGATGTATACACATTGATGTAAGTGATCCTAATCCTGTTCAATTTGTAAATAATATTCTCTAATTCTGTGGTTGAGAACTTGAACTTTCTTCTTGAAGTTCTAAAAGTTAGTATATAGGTAACATTAGATTCTAATTTTTTTTATCATTTATTTTGTTCATGGAATATTTCTGAGGTGTTTAGTATAAATTTTTATATGAAAATTTCATTTGTATAGTTCATAGAATATTTGAAAAAATACTAATCAAGAACTTAAGTGTTTTTCACTTTGTAAAGAAAATAGATTTGTAATAGTTCAAGATGTTAATATGTATAATTAGAATATCATTTTGTTTTCTCTTAAGGCTGCAGCAAGACATCAGTGTTCCTACTTAGTGAACCTGCATGTAAATGATTTCCTTCATGTTGGTGGGGATCCCAAGTGGCTCAATGGTTTAGAGAATGCACCTCAGAAGCTACAGAATTTAGGAGAACTCAACAAAGTATTAGCCCACAGACCTTGGCTTATTACCAAAGAACACATTGAGGTACGTAGTGAAGTAATATATCTTAAGCATCACTTAAAATTTTTTTGAAGATTTATTTTCTAGAGCAATTTTAAGCTTACATAAAAATCACACTGAGAGTGCAGAGTTCTCATTTTCTACCACGTAACCCTTCCCACAGACACACATTTTTCTCCTATTATTAACATCTTGAATTTGTGAGGTAGATTTGTTGTGAGTGATGAACCATTATTGCCATGTTGCTATTAACTAGTGTCCAAAGCTCACACTGGAGTTTGCTTTTGTGTTATATACTTCCATAGGTTTTTAAAAATGCATAATGTCATGATACCATCATTCTCTCATATAGAACAGTATAATAGAGAATAGTAAATAATCACTGCCTTGTGCTTCATTTATTCATCCTTCTCCCCTTTCTCCTGGACTCATGCAATTACTGGTCTTTTTATTATTTCTATAGTTTTACCATTTCCAGGATTTCATGTAGTTGATATCATATAGTATATAATCTTTTCAGATGGACTTTCATTAGATGGACTTTTCATTCAATTTTAAGATTCTTCCATGTATTTTTGTGACCTGACAGTACATTTTTTTATTGCTGAATTATATTCCATTGTGTAGATATACCACAGTTAGTTTATCCTTTCACCTATTGAAGGGACATCTTGCTTACTGTTAGTTGTGGATAATTATGAATACAACAATTAGAAACATTTATGTGCAGGGTTTTGTTTTTTTTGACAAAACCTTTTAGCTTATTTAGGTAAATAGGAATGTGACTGTTGGACCATTTGGTGAGCCTATGTTTAGCTTTGTCAGAAACTGTGACAGTCTTCTAAAGTGCCATACCAGTTTGCTTCCCACTAGCAATGAAGAAGCATTCCTCTTGCCTTTTGGTCTTGTCTTTCTTATAAAACATTTTAGGCACTTATGTAAAAGAAAATATTGTCAAGAAGACAGGAGATTTGAATATGATTAATACAGTGCCTCATGTTGTCAAGGAAAACACACAAAATTATAAAACAGATAAGGAGAAGGGACACCATTGAATTTGAAGAATTACAGATTTATGTATAACTTTTAAATAAATACAAGTTGATGATTTAGGAATATTTAGAGTCAAGTTGTCTTCAAGCCACTGTCTTAAAAATTCCTTGAGGAGGCCTGATAATAAACAATACACAGACATTTCATGTAGTACCTTCAACTTTAAATACAGATTTATTACATTTGAACTAAAAATGCAGTAATTCATTCATAATCCAACATCTGAAATATAGTAACTGCTTTTAAGTAAAATGTATTCTATTTTTAAATCAGTATTTCAAAAAAATCAAAACAATAATGAATGTGTCATTAATAGATGTTAAGCTCTATTTGTGAATATATTTTCATAAAATTAACAAATTGTGGGTTCTACATGTTAGAATTTACAGTTTTAGACTAGGCTTTATAGAGTGACTAATCCTGTTGTCAATGGATTAAATACTAAGATGAGCTATGTAGTTTCACCAACACCACACCGCAGTATAAAAATATGTTCTTCTAATCCTAGTTTTTTTGAGGAATCTCTACACTGATTTCCACAGTGGTTGTAGCAGTCTACATTCCAACAGTGGAGAAGGGTTCCTTTTCCCCCAAAGCCCCACCGGTATTTGTTATTGGTTGATTTCTTGATAGCAGCCATTCTTTCTGGAGCAAGGTGGAATCTCAGCATTGTTTTCATTTGCATCTCTTGAATGACCAGTGATGTTGAACATTTTTTCATATGTTTATTTGCTGTTTCTACTTCTTCATCTGAGAAATGTCTGTTCATTTCAGGTGTACATTTTTGGTCTTTTTTTTTAAGTTCTTTATGTATACTAGATAGTAGACCTTTGTCTGAAGAACAGTTGGTAAAGATTTTTTCCCACATTGTGGGTTGTCTCTTCACTCTGTTAGAAGTCTTATTGGACCCAGCTATTCCCCTGCTGGGTATCTTCCCAATGGAATTAAAAGCATCATATCACAGCAATGTATGCACACCCATATTTATAGTGGCACAGTTTGTAATAGCTAAATCTTGGAAACAGTCCAAATGCCCATCAACTGGTGACTAGATAAAGAAGATGTATTTTTTTATAAAATGGAGCACTACTCAGCCATAAAGAATGATAAACTAGAGACATTTATAGCTAAATGGATCCACATTGAGGCCATACTCTTAAATGAAATAAATAGGACAGACATGTGTAAATACCAAATAGTTTCTCTGGTGTGAGAAATTGAAAGTGTAAATGAGGACCAAAATGTATAACAGATAGTGTGAAACAGGAAGAAAAGGTCCAAAGGGGAAGGGGAAGTAGGGAGGGGGATGGAGGAAAGGAAAGAAGGGAAAGAAAAAAACATGAGAAAAGAAGGAAAAAATAGAAACAAGGTTTTTCTAAGTAGGAAGGAGAGGAGGGGTGGGAGGAAAGGGGATTGGTGAAAAAGCAAGAACCAAGGTATATCATGTACAGGTACAAATTCCCAATGATGAATCCGATCATAATGTTTACCTAAAATGTATCAGTAAAATTAATGAATAATGAATAAAAAATGAATGAATTCATTAAATTAATTTTAATGAATAAAAAAGACAAAAAAATCTGTTCTGTTTCCTCCTGACCCCCAGCGGCTTTTAAAAGCTGAAGAGCACAGCTGGTCTCTTGCAGAATTAGTACACGCAGTAGTTCTACTCACACACTATCATTCTCTTGCCTCATTCACATTTGGCTGTGGAATCAGTCCAGAAATTCATTGTGATGGTGGCCACACGTTCAGACCTCCTTCTGTTAGTAACTACTGCATCTGTGACATTACAAATGGCAATCATAATGTGGATGAGATGCAGGTCAACTCGGCCGGAAATATTTCGGTAAGTGTCTGTTATTTGTTATGGAACTATAATAAGACTAATCACAATAATTTCTGTTAATGTTATTTTTTCATTTGGTTCCTTTGAAAATCCACCCTGTTGAGTCCATAGAGATATTAGGCCCTCTATTCATTCAGTAAGGATTGATTTTCTTATTACCTCCAAATGCCCATCAGTAGTCTAGGTGCTAAGAGATATACAAAATTATAAGTCCCTCTAGAGCAGTGATGGCAAACCTTTTAGAGCTTTTAGTGATAAACGGCTGTAGCACATATGCTGTAGGTTCACCACCGCTGCTCTGGAATGGTACACAAGTAATTTTAGGGCCTACAGCCAATAGCCTGTACCCCATTAGGGCCAGATAATAATGAATGGCAACAGCAGTGACATGAGCAGAGGCTGAAAATAGCATAGTCTGGTATTGGAGACTTCCTGCTTGCATCCTTTTCTTCTCTTTTCTGCAAGAGAAACAGGCTGACTTCTAAACACTCATCTTTTGGAAGATTTAGTCAGCTTAGTCCTGGAAATTTCTCCCTTTAAAATTCTTTGTCATGTTTAACTTTGCACAAGTGTAGAAAATGACACCAGTGAATGTAAATTTGTTAAAATGCTTTCATCTCCATTCCTTCTCTTGTCTTATTTTTTTTCAGTTTTGTTATTTCTTTGAAAAAGATCATAACAAGTTGAATTTTCTATAAGCAGATTTTAATTCTTATATACCATGAGTCCAAATTTCCCTTGCATTCTTTTACTGTAATGGAAAAGCAAGGGTTTGTTTTTTTGCTTCAAAAGAGAAATCACAGAAAACCATCAAAGTTATCCTAACATACTTTGACTTATATATTTGACTTTGGGCAAGTTATCAAAACTTTCTAAACTCTTTCGTGTCTAAATAAAGGTAAAACATTAAGTTATTGAGAAGTCTAAATAAAATGTCTGTAATGAAGTAAAATGCCTACTACAGTACCTGGCATTTATCAGGTGCTTAATTAAAAGGTAGTATTTACATATGATGAAATTAGCTCATGCAGAAATAGCACTTCCCTGAGATTGATTACAGCACTGTTCTGACAGTTCCTGAGATGATCAGTTTCTCTTTCCATTGAGCTACCTGGATTCATACTACAGGCTTGCATATATGGCTACTGGTTATTTGTCAAAGCTTGGAGATTATAAGAGGATCTGAGAGAGAAAAGGGATGCTGAGAGTTGGATTTCTGTCTTTTCCTGCCATTGATTCAGTACACAGTCAAAGAAAATTTACTAGTTTCTACTTTTACTTGTTATTATTCTAGAGATAATAGGGCAAGGAGTGTAGCTCAGTTGTAGGGTACTTGCTTAGCATGCACAAGTCCCTGGTTCAACCTCCAATACTGGGGGAAAAAAGATAAGAATGAAAAGAATAGGATTTTTGAAATTTCTTTACATGATACATAGCCTTGAAACTCAATGTTCCAGTTTACATTCCTACCAGCAATGAAGAGGCATTCCTGTTGCCCCACATCTTTGCCAGCGATGGTGTCAGTGTTTTGGGTTTTAGCCATTCTGTTGATGTGAACTGGCATTTCACACCTACTGTGACACTTGACTAAGAGCTGACTACACTACACAGTCAGCTGATAAAGCTTGTCCTTTGTTTATATACCAGATATCTGACTCAGCTCTTCAGATAAAAATTGTAAAAAACAAACAAAAAATCTCTACACATAATATTAACATTTAGTATTAATATGTAATGCTGTAATTTTTTTTCTTTATCACTAACAACTTTAGCAGATTAGTTGACCAACAGAAACGTATTTTTTCCCTTTTCCCTCTTGTTTCAATACAATTTATCAAGAATTGTCTTTTCTAAGAATACCTAAACTTTGGGCTATCTTATGTAAGCTGATATCTGAAGGATCAGTAGGTAGAAGTTAGGAAAAGGATGGTAGATAGGAATTTATAAGAATATTTCCTGGCCAGGCATGGTGGAATAAATAATTTAAAAATAAAAATTAAAAATTAAAAAAAAAAATTTAAAATAACATTTCCAAAAAAAAGTAAATTTTTTGGCCAAAAAAATGTATAAAGGGAGAAACAATTGTTTTGTATTTAAACATTGATGTTTTAAGACTTATGTACTCATTTTGTAAAGTGTATATTCCGTGTGCTTGATCCATCCTTTACAGTAAGCATGCAGTAGGGTGTAAAAGTATAAATTATTTGTCTACTCTGTCACTCCTCATCAAAGCCTATCATAGATGTGACACTGCTGTAATCACACCAGCAAGTGACAGATTCTAGCATCATGCAGAGGTCGGGTGGCCAACTGTCCAGCCATGTGAGGACATGTCTTGTTTTTAATGGGTAAATTGTATAAATAGAACAATTACTGTTTAAAGATGATAGACATGTGGACAACATGCACAGTGTGCAGTTGGCACAAAAACCATTTATAGTTTGTATATCTTATTAACAGAATAAGCAGAAGTTTACTTTAAAATATGGTTCTACTTTAAATTGACAAGTGTTTAATTTTTAAAATAGCATAAATAGCAATGCCATTAATTTTATACGGTAAAAACATTAGAATGTGTTAAAATCATTTTTCTCATATTTTAAAGTCCTCTTACCTATGTACCTAAATTGTTTATTCTTGTACATTAAAATTATAGGAAATTCTGTGTTCCCTGTATTCTGGTAAGATACAAGTTATATGTCTGCCATCTGTAATACTGTATTCTCTCTTCAGGTAAGTGATTCCTTCTTTGAGGTGGAAGCCCTAATGGAAAAGATGAGGCAGTTACAGGAATGTCGAGATGAAGAAGAGGCGAGTCAGGAAGAGATGGCTTCACGTTTTGAAATGGAAAAAAGAGAGAGCATGTTTGTCTTCTCTTCAGGTAAGACCAACCACTATGTAGTCAATATAATTTCTATCACAAACCCAACATTTTTATTTAGAGAATTTAAATGTTTTAAAACATCAAATGTTTCTTTTCTTTTAGAGAGGCTATTGCATGGGAGTTATTCCTACTTGTAATTTTCAAAGCAGGCAACTAAAAAACGTTTATAAGTGAAAATAGCATTAGACTAAGAGGGGGGCCCATTTGGTTTGGCTTCTGGCGCTAAGGAGCTTTGTGAACTTACTTGAGTAAGTCACTTAACATATAAGTGCCTCTTTTTCTCTTTTGATATGAAGAAATTGTGTTCCTAAAGCCCTAAAATTGCTTTTTGCTTTAAAATTCTATGATTTGAGAAAAAGAGCTATTTATTAAATTACCGATAACAATGTATTCTTTGTTTAGCCTTTAGCTTTTACCTATGTGCAGGTAATTTGAAAACCATTCATATGACGTATCCAAATATATTTTGATAACAAATACAGTAAGAGAAAGAGTGTAAGTATTAAAAGCATCAAGTTTCTTAATAGCAAAGAAAAAATCAAGTGTATATAAATAGAGGTTTGGATGTGAGGGCGATCTGGCCGTGACATCTGTCACCCCATTGATCGCCAGGGTTGATTCGGCTGATCTGGCTGGCCAGGCGGGTGTCCCCTTCCTCCCTCACTGCTCCCTGTGTGTCCCTCCCGAAGCTGCACGCTCGGTGGAAGAGGGCGACCACCCCCGATAGGGGAGGACCGTTTCCTTGGTCAAGGGTATAGGAGTAGCTGCACTCCCCTGCTATAAATAGAGGTTTGGGTACTGGCTTATTTTTCCTCAAGGGACAGCTTTCATTTGTATCTGTGCCTAAAGATGTGGAGTTATCATAAAATAGTTTATATTTTATAAATTATATTTTATAAAATATATATCATATTTTATAATTTATATATAAATATTTTTGATGTATTATATAATTTATATATTTTATAAAATATTAAATATTTTATTAAAAATTTATTTACTTAACTATAATCTCATGAACCCCTAAACATGATAATCCAAAAAGACTTAGCAATACAAGAAGCACTGTAAAAATTTCAACTCACAGGACCTGGTTCTTTCATCAAGTTATACATTATGTGGCATTAATATTTAACAAAAACAGTCAAGTGCTAAGTTTTAAAGCACAGCTGATTCTAGTAGTTATTACATCAAGAATTATCCAAAAGGATGTTACAGTGGACCCTTGAGTTACAAATGGCCTGATATACAAACAACTTGGGTTACAACTAGAATTTTAGTTTTAATTTATGAACTAAGTCTTAAGTTGTAACTCGAATACGAGCTGCTGTGGTTCTAGATAGTCTCAGATACAGATTTAACCCTTAAAGAGTCCTGGAAGGAACATTACAACATCCTTTCCTGTGTGGGGTTAACTGAGAAATCCTGGGCCAATGTCTCTCTAAGGATACGGAGATCTGCTTGTATACAGGAGAGATTTTGAAGGCTGTGTAGAGGAGCCTGAGCCTTCAATTGACCGACTTGAGTTACAATCAGCCCTTGGGAAATGAATTGAGTTTGTAAGTCAAGGGTCCACTCTATTAGTTTGAACATATACAGTACTTTTAAGAAGAACTTAACATGTCTAAATTGGAGTGGGGACAGAGAGGGAAAAGAGGATCTGTCAAAGAGGGAATGAAAGGTATAGAGAATTCAACTTTGTTCATTTTGTAACAGAATTTCCTTTTGTACTACATTCTGTTTAGTGATAAAGACTGTTTTGGTTGATATTGGTTACTCAGTGTCAGAGAATGGATTATCTTATTTTTACATGTTAAAGGTAAATGAATGTTAAATAGTATTTAGTTTGAAAAGCTCTCGATGACATTGTAAAAAAATTATTTCAGATGATGATGAAGCTACACCAGCAAGAGATGTATCTCGTCACTTTGAGGATACTAGTTATGGCTATAAAGATTTCTCTAGACATGGGATGCATGTTCCAACATTTCGTGTTCAGGTAAAATTACAACTTACTGTATTCATATGATTTTTTAGAAGTGTATCAGTCTGACCTGTGGGAAAGAGACACCTAAATTTAAGAAAACTATGCTAAGTGTTTTTGCACATAGTATCTAAGAAGCAACAGTAACTATATCCTCTAGTTCCAAAACTTGACAATCATCAATTAACAAATATCTGTTCTTATACTCTAATTTTGAAAGACTGCCTCCAATTCATCAGCAGAATCATACTGTAGTTTAAATGTATGTCTTAAATTTATTGCTTAAACATTTAGATAGGTCAGTATTTGAGCTGATCATCCCAGCTTTTCCAGCTATAATAAGGGAGCAGTGTTAAATAATAACTGTTTTACCAGAATTATGAAAATAGTTGAGAACTGTAAGATTTTGTTTCTTTGCCCAAAAAACTAAGATATTGTTCAAAGGGACAAAAGTTAGGCGCAAGGAAGAGGTAAAGAATCTACTTGTCAGTTAAACTGTGTCATGAAGTGTAACTCAAAATTGAAGAGATAATTGTGGATTGGAAATTTTATGGAGGATTAAAATTTAGAAATTTTAGAGAGTCAAAAACCAGGGTAGAGGAGTAGCTTACAAGTGTAGCTTAGTGACAGAGTACTTGCCTAGAATGTTTGAAGCTTTGGTTTGGGGACTCAGAACTACTCCCCCAAAAAATAATCATTGTAAGCAACAGAGAATAGGAAATAATTGAGCTTAGGTTTAGGTATAGAGTGAGGCAAAGAATCAAAAAGAGACTGACTGAGCTGCTGAAAGATTCAATCAAGCAAGGCTCATAGTTTAAAATTGTTCAAGTGTGCCTTAAATGTGAGAGCAGTTTGCAGTAAGTTAAAATGAGGTTTGTAGGTTTTGACCAGAGTAATGGCATAATGTCCAAGAAGGACTTTAGGACAATAAATGTGGGAAGAAAGGAGACAAAAAGATTTTATGTAGAGAAATAAATTAGGAGACTCGTTTAATAAGGCTGAAGTCAGCAGGAAGAAAAAAGAATGAATGATGGATATGTTGCATTAGAAATTAACAAAATTTAAATGGCTTTGGCGATGGAATATGAGAGTGGACTGTCAAGCTGGTGGCTCCAAAGGCTGAGTGAAAAGAGAGAAAGCTGAAAGTCAGTCCCCTGTGGGTAAACACACATGACTTCATTGGTGCTTATGCTCTCAGAGTTATAAAATACAGCCTTTTTCACATTGTAGTGTGGAAATTGAATACGTTGGACTGGAGCAGGAGAAGCTAAGAGGTAGAGATTAAGATTCCAGCTGCCAGTAAGCTCACTATGCTGCGGATATAGAACTGTATTTGGCTTCGTTTTGTTTTTTGGTATTTTTTTGGTACTGGGGATTGAACTCAGGACCTTGAGCTTGTGAGGCAGGCGGTGGAACCATTGAGCTAAATCTCCGGCCCGTTTGGCCACATTTTAATGATTTCATATTTGTTCTATCCTCTGTATTTAGGACTATTGCTGGGAAGACCATGGTTATTCTTTGGTAAATCGCCTTTATCCAGATGTGGGACAGTTGATTGATGAAAAATTTCACATTGCTTATAATCTTACCTATAATACAATGGCAATGCACAAAGACGTTGATACCTCAATGCTTAGACGGGCTATTTGGAACTATATTCACTGCATGTTTGGAATACGGTTAGTCTGTTTTCTTGTATTCACAGAGAGATTTTCCTGTATGCTAAATTATTCGTGTGCTTAGAGCACACACATACACTCACAACCATCCCCTCCCCCAATAGCTTATTTACACACTTCCTGTGATTCAAAGTATCACTTTATTACATCATAGTTGATTTCCTAGGGAGTAGAGTTAGCAACACTTAGAAGAGTTAAATGACAGCTGCCTCTAGGGAAGGGGAGCACAGATGAGCAGATGAAGAGACAAGGTTTGTCAGGAATGTCTGTGTCTTTTCTCTTTGTGTCATCTTCTCTCTCCTGACACATTCATATTTCTGCCTTCGTGGAACTCAATACCTTTATGGCTCCCTCTGGCTGTGTTCAGGCTCCTTATGGAGAGTACCTACTCCCATATTTTCATCATTATTTCAGAACTCCCAGGTTCTTACTGTTGGGATTTCAGCACATTACTGTTATATATGGAAAGTGCAACATTTAAACACCACCTTCTCTTACATGAAAACTCCATGCTGCATTACTTTCTGGTGGTTTTATCTATAAAATCAGCTTTTTCTTGCTGTTTGTTTTAGCAGTGCCTCTGGGCAAAACAAATCCTGTTTAATTTTCTCTAAACTGTTTGGGCATTTAAAGCACATCTGACCAGTCTTAAACTAATCGCCACTAACCAGTGGTCAGACTCTTGACCTAGCCTTCTGAATGGTTGTAGGACCAGCTTTGCCAAAAATTTCTTCCCTTTTCCACTGAAAAATCCTATGTGTTCTGGAATCCAAGTGGAGCAAGCAGACACTTGTCTTCATGCAGGATGGCTTCTCCTCATGTAGACATTGTGAGGTACTGTGTAGGCCAGCCTTCCTGCTCTATCCACCCGTTAATCTTCTCATCTGACCCCAAAAACCCATTACACAGTGATTACATTTTTTATAACATAAGATAATTGTCTAATTTGTTAATTTCAGCATTTATCATAAGCTTTGTTTTCATAATTGGTTCCCCAGAGTATAGTTCCTTGTTCGTGATTGTAAATATACACTCTTGCTTGATAGCCAAGTGCTGTAGTGCTAATATTGTCAGCTTTCGTGAATAATTTGTTTGGGCACTAGACTGTTTTCTGTTCCTTTTCCTAAGTTTACCTTTTTACCTTTATACTCATCTATTCACCCCCTGATTAAGCTGTATCATTCAGGAGGATAGCTGTCTACACAAAAAAGGAAAAAGAATATAGCATTTATTATTGATATGTATACTTGAAAACAGACCATTGTTAATTTATCTGTCTTTCCTTGTCTGTTATTATCTGTCTGTTAACAGATATGATGATTATGACTATGGGGAAATTAACCAGCTGTTGGATCGTAGCTTTAAAGTTTATATCAAAACTGTTGTTTGCACTCCTGAAAAGGTTACCAAAAGAATGTATGATAGCTTCTGGAGGCAGTTCAAGCACTCTGAGAAGGTCTGTGCCTATACTTATTGTGGCTTGTTTACTCTGAAACTTAGCAAAGATTTTTAAGAAAAACGTTCTAGGATGGCTATCTTGGGTACCTCTTGGAAGGGAGCCTCATTATGGTGATACGGTGAAAGAATAGAGAGACAGGTGGGCTGGCCCACATAGCTGTCATCACCACTTACAAGAAAGATGATTATTTTGCAAGAGCTCATTTTAATTGCTCAATGGTGATTTGACAGGGTTTACTGGTACTCTGACAAAGCAGTGTCTAGATTTTCTGAACTACAGTAAATATCCAAGAAGACATGTATCCAGTAAGAACATCAGATAGCTTTTGAGAAATATTCTGCACAGAACCCAAGTTCTAAGTTATGTGGTGGTACACAGAAAGTGTACAGTCAGCCCTCTATATTCATGGGTCCTGCATTCATAGATTCAGCAAACCCCAGATCAAAAATATCCAGAAAAAAGTCTGTACTAAATTGTACTGAATATATAGACTTTCTTGTCATTATTCTCTGAACACTAGAGCATAACAACTATTTATGTAGCATTTACATTGTATGAGTAATGTAGAGATGATTTACAGTATAGGAGAATGTACACTCCTTAAATGCAAATACTGTGCCATTTTATATAAAGGATTTCTCTAAAAGGAGTCCTGGGGCCAATCCCTGACAGATACCAAGGGACAACTTTACTTTTGGTGTTTACTAGATGTGCTTAAAAAACTGATTGTTAATGTTCTAATCCTCCTTTATATGATGTTGTGTCTTCAGGTTCACGTCAATCTGCTTCTTATAGAAGCTAGGATGCAAGCAGAACTCCTTTATGCTCTGAGAGCCATTACCCGCTATATGACCTGATGATGTCTTTCTTCCCTTAAAGAGGATTCTGGAATGATGAGCAGATACAGTCTACAAGGGGAAGGTGCCAAGCCCCAGGACCAATGGTAGATAAAAGAATTCAGAAATCCATTGTGCCACGATTCCTTTAGTTTCTGCTATTTTACTGTGGAAATACTACTGCTGGCACAAGCAGTGTGTGCTTGGCAGCCTCACATTTAAAGCTGTGAAGAAAGGCTGCTATCCACAGTATTTGCTTTTTGACAGTACAAGACACTGTGTAACTGTTTTAATACAGCAAATAGTAACTCTCCACATCCTGTTGCTTTTATGTTAAATAAGATAACAAGAATTGGAGCATGCAAAGAATGGCACTTGAATAATGACTTAAGATGTATACATAAAGAATTTTAGAAGATCTTGGTGCTGCTATCCTGGTTGGTGGAATGAATAGATCGTGGTTCCAGTTAAGCTATTAGTGATTAAAGTGAACATTGCTACTATCTGAGCCTACAAACATAATTTGTGTGGTTTCAAATTAAACTTGCGTACATGTTAATTTTTTGCATCTTAAAAAGCATAGAATTATTACAGTTCAAAGACCATTTGATGGTAACAGTTCATTTATTTCTTATAGTTTTTAAAATTCAGTTATTGGATGATATTAAATTACAGTGGTATTCTTAAAATATTTTCTTCAAAAAGCAATCTTAAATGAAAATATGTAGATTATAAGAAAAACTGGCTGTCTTCTGAAACACTGTTTCACAAGATTCTCTTGACACTGAAGGGCAGATTCTTCCTAGGCACTTTTGTTTCCAACACTGCACTTGTGGGATATCGCTGTAGACTGCTGTGCAGCCCCAGGCACATTCTGTCCCTGAGCTCCTGCCTGCCTCCCAAAACCTACTTTAAAAGTTGTGCAGCTCCTTAAATAATAAAGCTGGAAAATATTTTTAGTCAGGTTATCAAATTGGATTTACAAAAATGCTAACTTTGTTTGAAATGCAAACAAGTTTTGAGTACTTTGTATTCTGGAAGTGTGAATTGCTTTTGAAGTCTGTCAGTATTATTGGTATTTTTCAATAAAGAATTTTCTCCAATTTTATTTCCTGTTTCAGTCTCTTGATAAATCACGATTTCACAACTAGTAACAATTCTGAGTTTCTGTTTACTTTCATAAGCTAAGTAGATTCACGAATAACACTGTAAGGAGATGAGAGACTACTATTAAATGGCAAAAGTCTTGAAGCCATTTTGAAGATACAGAGAGGAATAGGTCTTCTTCAGGGTATTATTATCTAAAACCTTTTAGTGTGTGTCAGTGACGGGTAGGGTCTTTTGACTGGCCCATGCCTGTTACTCATCAAAACACTTATTAAGCTCAATCCTAGTGCCTACAAACGTATGAGGTAAGGAGAAAATTTTGAATAAAGGTGGCACTTGCCCTTAAAGATATTTTCTTAGTCTATTTTCTGCTGCTATAGCAGAATGCCTGAGAATAGGTAATTTATAAAGAAAACACATTTATTTTAGCTCACAGTTCTGGAGTCTGAAAAGATTCAGACCAAGTAGGCACATGGTGAGAAAATAGAAGTGGGTGCCTGTAAAAAAAACTACCTCTGGGCAGGTGGTGAAGTCCTGTAATCTCAGGACTAGGGAGGCTGAAGCAGAAAGATCACTGTGAATTTGAGGCCAGCCTGGGGTACATAAGTGAGTTCAAGGATATATAACAAGACCATGTCTCAAAAAAAAGAGAAAACTACCATGCTAACTCATGAAGGTATGAGTCCAGTTGTAGGGCTCCACCCCCTGGGCTACAACACTTCCCAACACTACCACATTGAAGAGTAAGATTCTTAACACGTGAACTTTTGGGGATACACTCAAACAGTAACAGACATATACCCATGTGAAAAACAAGACCTATCAATTTAGAAATAGATTATTTCCAACATTTTATACATAAAGAAATGTGTGAGTCTGTTTCTAGTTAGCTAACAATAATATATATGTTGTCCTTCCCACTGAATTTGCATCATGCTTTTGCTCCCTTCTGTCTGTTACCATAATAATACAGGTGGACTCAACAAGTATGGTTGCATTGGATACAGTTAAAATTTTACTAATTCTTCCTTCTGCTCTTTGTTATTGGCACCTTGTCTTGAAAATACAAAATTTCTGATTAGCAGTACAATTATCACAAAACAAGATCAACTAAAATGCATTATTGGCTTAAGTGCATTGCAGTTTATAATCATTTAGAAACCAGGAACTGATTTTGGTTTGTTTTGTTTTATTTTTTTCCAGTACCGAGGATTGAACCTAGGGCCTTCAAACTGGGCTACTTCCCTACCCTTTTTAAAAAATGTTTTATTTTAAGTCACTAAATTGACTAAACTGGGCTGGAATCTGCAGTCCTCTGGCCTCAGCCTCCCAGAGTGCTGGGATTACAGGCATTCACCACTCTGCCCAGCCTAAAAGTAAAATTTAACGAGTGAAAATGTTTATACCTAAAGTAATAAAAGTGCATGTGATACAAAGTTGGATGTTTCAGTGCTTCCCACCTACCAGGTGCTTCCTCTTACTCATAATGTTTTCTCAATGCTAAACACACAGGATTTCTAATGTTACTATGTAATTTTTGAAAGGAATAATTTCCAAAATAATTAGAAAAGGTACAGTAGAATAAGGGATATCAAAAATCCTCTCCTACTAGAGGAAAATTTTTTTTCTAAAATTATCATGAAGTTTCTGGTTGAAGTTTCCAGGATTCTGTTTTTTAAATATGTTTTGGGGTAAACTTTGAGGAACTTTTTTTATTATGCCAAACTCAAGTAGCTCATACTATAAGAATGGAATAAATTTCAAACATTTCTATAATCACAGTTACTTAAGTTTAACTTCCCAGGTAGTGATATTTTAAAAATTAAAAGGCTAATTGTAACAGTTGAGCTATTATAAATTACTTTTGATACAATGTGTACATAAGTAGGTAAAATGTGTTTAAGCATTGATACTATTTTCTAAGGTTTATTAGCATATTTGTGTGTAAATATCAGGAATAGCATAAGGCAGGTAGATGGAGAGTAACATCAGGAAGTTGGTAGACTAGGGAGCTCCATGTCTTCATTCTTCCACATCACCAATAATAAAGACTAAAATATTTTTATGAGAACTCTAGAAACCAATTAGGAAACTCCAGCACTCAGGCAATTGCAAAGCCAGGAGGAGGCTGCACCAAAAGGCATTTTGCTCACCTTTGCCCCTTTCTGGCTTAGCCTGGAATGATTGGCAGGAAACTTCCCAATATCTAGCTTCTTCAGGACAGAAAAAAAAAAAAGTGGAGTTTTGGTCTAGTGTTCTGCTGTATGAGCACTGCCTGAGGGACTGATTTATCAGGTGGCTCAAGGCACTGGTGGGAGTTGGTGGGATGATTTGTATGCTGACTAGACACTGAAAATGATAGGGAGTGTGCAGGTCTGCAGGTAGGCACTGGGGGAACCACCGAGTACAGGAGAATATAAGACACTGAAACAGCTCCTGTTTTAGAGAGACCAGAGAACCTCTTAGGGAAATTCAGACAGTTAAAAGCCAGATATACTGGAATAAACATACACATGTACACACAAAGCTCAGAAAAGACACATCCCCAGAAAATGCTTGAGAAGTTCCAGAACCTCTAGCCAGGTTGATTGCTACAGGGCTGCCCCTGCACAAAGCCATTCTGTAAAGAGGAGGAAAGTGGCTGTCTTACCAAATGTCCAAATTTCAACAAAATATCACAAGGCATACAAAGAAATAGAGAAACATGTTTCAATCAGAGAAACAAATCTCCAGAAACAAACTAGAAATTCAGATCTCTGAATCACCTGACAAGGAATTAAAACAACTATCTAAAAGTTGATCAGTGAGTTTAAAAAAAAAAAGCAGATAACTAAAATGAAATCAGAAAAGCAGTGCATGAACAAAATGAGAATGTCAACAAAAGAGAACAAAGAAAACCAAATTCTGGAACTGAACTGAAGAAAATTTACAAGAAAAGTTGACAGCAGGCTTCATCAAACAGAAAAAAGGACCAGTGAACTTGGAAACAAGTTACTTTATATAAAATCAGAGAAAAAGAGTAAGGAAAAGTAGAGGCTAGGGGACTTAGGGAAAACACACATTATGGGAAGTCTTAGAAGAAGAAGGAGAGGAGCAAGAGCTTATTTAAAGAAACACCATCTATTTAGTCTTCAAATACTCCACACCAAATTTGAAGAAAGAAATGGGCATACTAACTCAAGAAGATTGATGAATGAGGATAAAGCCAGGGACCCATACCAAGACACGAACTATTGAAAGTCAAAAACAATCCTAAAAGCATCAAAAGAAAGGCAGTTTTCATCACTTACAAGGGAGCACTGTAAGATTACCAGCTTTTCCAGCAGGAATCTTGTAGGACAGAAGGCAGAGAAAATATTTTCAAAGTGCCAAAAGAAAGAAACTGTCAACCAAGAATACAGTGTCTGGCAAAACAGTCCTTTAAAAATAAAGGAAAAGGGCCAGGGATTTAGCTCAGTGGTGCCACTGCCTGTCTCAAAAGCGCAAGGTCCCAAGTTCGATCCCTGGTACAAAAAAAAATGAAGGAAAGAACCAAGACTTTCTCAGCTAATTTAATGCTAAGGGAATATATTATCATTAGACCAGCCCTACAAGAAATGCCAAAAGGAATCCTTTATGTTGAAGAAAAAGGACACTACAGAGTAAGGCAAGGCCATGTGAAAATACGGTGTCCAGTAGTTACTGTGTGAACAAATACAGAAACTTGAATTATTATATTTTGGTAATTACATTCACTTTAATTTTTTTTTTTTTGAGACAGGGTCTCACTTTGTAGCCCAGGGTGGTCTCAAACTCCCAGCATTCCTGCTACCTCAGACTCCCCTAGTGCTGGGATCACAGGTGTGCACCACCATACCAGGCCACTTTTAATTCTTGTATAGAATTCAAATAACAAAAGCATTTAAATAACTATCAACCTCTACTAATGAGTACATAATCTATAAAGAGATAATATGTAAATTGAGATGCACCAGAGCTGTTGAGTAGTTTTTGTATATGGTTAAAGTTTAAAATAGACTGTTGTAACATTAAAATGTTTTATATAGGGCCAGGGATTTAGCTCAGTGGTTTCGCCACCTCCTGTGCAAGTGCAAGGACCTGAGTTCGATCCCCGGGACCAAAAAAAAAAAAAAAAAATGTTTTATATAATTCCCCATGGTAATCACAAAGAAGGAAATAGGAGTATATAAAGAAGGAAATAAAAAGGGAACCGAAGCATATCACTAAAAAAAATCGATGAGACCCAGGGATTTAGCTCAGTGGTTCTGCCGCCTGCCTTGCAAGTGCAAGGTCCTGAGTTTGATCCCCAGTACCAAAAAAGACAAAAAATAAATAAATAAATAAATAAAAAATAAATTGATGAAACACAAAGGCAGTAAGGAAATGAGAGACAAAACACTATAAGACAGAAAATAACAAAACAATAATAAGTTCTTTCCTATCAGTAACTGTATCAAATGAAATGTTGAGCTCACAAATTAAAAGACATACATTGGTTGAATGGATTTTTTTGTTTGCTTTTGGTGGTTCTAGGGATTGATCCTAGCATCTTTGCACTGAACTATATCCCCAACCCTTTTGAGACAGTTTTGCTAAGTTACTAAATTGCCCAGGTTGGGCTCAAACTTGTGATCCTCCTGCTTCAGCCTCCTAATTCACTGGGATTACAGGAATGTGCCACCATATGTGTCAGACTGCAATATTGATTATTCCCCAAAGCAGGTTATAAAGAGTTAACTCCACAATTGGCTTGTTTTGAGAAGTGAGTCTGGCTGAAGCCTACACGTCAAGGTCAGAGTAACTTGCACCCAAATTCCATTCCCACACTAAAACCTTCTTACTGGAAGGACAATATTCTAATTACATATATTTTGTCTATTCTGTTCCTAATTTGAGAATGCTTTGTCTTGTCCTTTATGAGTCTTGCTTACATTAGTTTCCATAAAAATCCCATGATTGTGCTTCTTACATATTCCTGTCCTTGCGTGTAGCTTACCTTTA